AATTTTGGTGATAGCATCAATTTGATAATAAGAAATAACACACTCTTTAGTAAAAGAAACTATGCATGCTCTTTAGTGCCAAAGAAAAGAAACTTTTTGGCCTTGATGTCAACCTACTCTCAAATATAAGCCTTGTAAATTTAATTTGAGTTTTATAATCACAAAACAATAAATGAATAGCAGGACACTTGGCTATATTAACTTTCTATTTGTTTCCTTTCCCCTTTCTTGGTTTTTATCATACTTTTCAAAGAAATTGCACAAAATACATAAAAGACATGATTCATCTTTCAAATTAATCCAACTAATGCTTGTTGAACCCTGGTGACACAGTGATTAAAGTGCTTGGTTGCTAACCGAAAGACTGGTGGTTTGAACCCACCAAACACTCTGGGGGAGAAAGGTGTGGCAGTCTGCTTTTGTAAAGACTTGGGAGTTCTACCCTGTAGTATAGGGCTGCTATGAGTTGAATTTGACTAAAAGGCAAAGGGTTTGTGTTTTGGTTCATGCTAGTTGAGCCTCTGCTTGGTGTTAGACTGCATGAATATTCAAGGAAACCAGAGAGGGCCCCTACCCTCAAACTTATGTGGGAAGCATTTGAGCACTTGATTTACAATTATCTTGCCCTTTGATTTTCATACATTTTCAATATGTAGTAAAATCTACACTTTTTCCTTGCTTTTAAAGACTTTAGCATTAATTGATAATCTTGTGTATTATTATTTAAGTGTACCTGGGCAGCTCAAAGTAGTCAGCACTAATCTTCTGAGTTTCCTGCCAAGTGTCTAGGAAACCAGAAAGAAGATCCACTATAGACATAAAGATATGTTTGTTTCCTAATTTAATACAGGAACTGAACAGCTGGTATATCACATGAAGATTAATAAAATCAAATGTCACAGTGGTTCCTTAGGCAGCTATGACTACTTCCAAATGCTGCTTCTTTTTTTTTTTTTTTTTTTTAATATATTACTAAGCAATCAGCATTACCATTTCATATTCTATGTGCACATTTATAATAGTAACTCCAGGTTTACTTTCATTTATTCATAGTACTGTTTTGCATTTACATCTACCTGAACACCATGACAGTCTACTTCCTCTAGACTGGTTCTTGGGAAGGATTTATCTTGCAGGATTGCAGGGAGAAAGAAAGTTACATTCAGCAGATTGCCAACAGCAGTCATGGTAGTTGTACATCTACATGAAATTTATTGTTGCTTTTCTCATCAAGGTTCAAACTGAAGGGGAGGAAGTGGTGAAAGGAGATAATTATAGATACCTGCGAACAGCACATGGATTAAGCCCACATATGCTAGAATCATCATTCTCAAACTGGAATCTGAAAGCCCATCTATCTAGTCCCCCGTGTGGTAATATCATCTATGCATTGGCTCATGACATGAACAAAGCCTTCAGTGCTGTTGCATCAAATGCAGGACTGTTCTTTCCATTGATTCCAGTGATTTTTTTTTTTTTTTTTTTTTAAGCAGTTGGGGAACAGTGGGAGCTGAAGGGAAGTGATAATCAGTAAGGTCATTTTTCGGCCAAAACAATTCTCAGAATTTAAAACATTGAACAACCAGTTCTCTGGAACATCTGAATATCCTAAGTTCTATTTTAAGAAGTTCTCTTCTGGGAGAAATTTCTATTAACTCTCCAAAACACTATTTAAAAATTATGATGAAGATGTGGCAGTATATGATGAAGATGTTGCATTAAAAGGAAGACCTTTCTTTAGATCTGATCACAGGACTGAATGCAATCAACTCCCTTGGTGCTGAGAAAATTTACTAATTTAAGGAGCTCTGATTTTTCCCTTTTCATAGATGGAAAATGTATTTGGGGAACAAGTCAGTCAAGCTACGCTGGCACAGTGGGTTTTATGTTTATCACATATTTCACAGAGCACCCAAAAGTACAGGGCTAAATATTTCCATTCTTCTGGGGTAATGCCATAAGGACTTTGAAGAGAAGAGAAAGCAAATTGCCATGCCTATATACTGTGTAAAGAGCTCTGGTGGTGTAGTGGCCAAGGCATTTGGCTGGTAACCAAAAGGTCGGTAGTTTGAACCCACCAGTTGCTCTGTGGAACAAAGATGAAGCAGTGCCCTTTCATAACGATGTATAGTCTTGGAAACCCAATGAGGGTCACTATGAGTCGGAATTGACTTGATGGCAGTGAGTCTGGCTTTTGGTTTTATACTGTGTAGAGACCACTTGCTTTGCAAGCGTTTTCAAATACAAGTACACTGTGCTTCACGCAGGAGCTCTGGTGGTGTAGTGCCTAAGGCATTTGACTTCTAACCAGAAGGCTGGCAGTTCAAACTCACCAGCCACTCCTCGGAAGGAAGATGGGACAATCTACTTTCGTAGAGATACTGCCTTGAAAACTCAAGGAAGGGCTGCTATGAGTTGGATCCGACTCGATGGCAGTGAGTTTTTTTTTGAATTTGTGCTTCATGCACAGATCTGCTTCAATAATTAGTATAGACTAGATATTTGAAAATGGCCTTACATTCTATGTATTAGGAAAACTGGTTACTGGTACATGCTTTCATATTGCAAATAATCATGTTCTTATCTGTTTCCAAATTAAAACTTCAGTTCACAGTATGCTTTTTTTTTTTTTTTTAAAGTAGTATTCTTTCATGTGGCATATTAACATAAAAAGAAAAAAGAAAGAAATTTTTATAATAAAACTCACATGGATAGGCTCATATGTGTCAAAAAAGTAATTATTTAGACTAGGCCAACCTCCCTGTTGTTTCCATTCCTGCAGACCACACACTTGCTGGGATGAAATATGGACAGGAGGCAACTCTACTGCACTTTTCTCAGTAATAAACACAGACATAATGAAGACAGAATGGTCTCATCCCTGGGGCCTGCGACCCCCATCTGTGCTGGGTTTGGGGCCTGGTGTGAGTGCCAGCCACAGTGAACACCTCATGAATCAAGAGAGCGTCCTTCCTTGGTTTTCTCTATTCCTACTTGGACACACCTGGCCCAGACCTACCCACTTGAGGAATTGCCACCAAGCCTGGGGGGCAGACCAAACAAAAAAAAAACCTAGTGCTACTGAGTCGATCTGACTCATAATGACTCATGAACCAAAAATAAAAACCAAACTCACTGCCATTGAGTTGATTCAACTCATAGCAACCCCTCCATGGGTTTCCGAGGAGGTATCTCTATGGAAGTAGATTGCTCAATCTTCCTTCTAAAGAGTGGCTGGTGGGTTAGTGACTCATTAGGACACAGTATAACTGCCCCATATGGTTTCCAAGGCTGTAAATCTCCACCAGAGCTCCCTTATAGAAGCACACTGCCTCATCTTTCTCCTGCAGAGCGGCTGGTGGGTTGAAACTGCTGACCTTTTGGCTTTAACCAATGCATGACCAGAGATCCTTGGGGCCAGACAGTTCTCCTCAATTCCAAAGGCAACAGCAGCTCAAAGAAGGGGCCAGGCCTTCAGCTCCATGGTATAAGATCACAGAGAAGTAGAAGACGCAGAACATGGAGTCTGTACTGACAGCGTTCAATTCTGTCACTTGCTGGCTCTACACCTGGAGCAAATTATTTAATCCTTCCAAGTCTCATTTGGAAAATGGTCCTAATAAGAACAGCTATCTCATAAACTTTGAAGATTAAATGAGATATATATATGTAAGGCAATATATAAAGGTGATTTCCTAGGTACTCAATAAATATTAGCAGCTGTTACTGTTGTTATTATTATTGTGGGTGTTGGTATTATTATCACTTATTATTATGCATGTCCACCTTCTGTTTCCATCTCAAATCCAATCAGGGAATAAGCCCTGCTGATTCTCCCTTTGAATTGTCTCTGAGCCTCCATCTCCACTGACATGCCCCAGTCCTATTTCCATGACTTCACATCTGGACCACTGTAGCGTCCTTTCAACCTGCTTTCCTGTCACCAATCTCTTCTTCTTCCATCTCATTGTTTTATTGTCAAGGGCAGTAATTTGTCCTAGGTCACATAACTTGAAAGTGCCATCGTGAACACAACATTGCTCTATTTAGAAAACAAACCAACCTCCAGTTAATTACAAAACAAAGGAAATATTTCCCAAACTGATATTTAAAACACCCTACACCAGATCTAGGGAGCTCTGGGGGAACAGTGGTTAAAGCATTCAGCTGCTAACCAAAAAGGTCACCGCTTCAAACTCACTAGCTGCTCTGTGGGAGAAAGATGTGGCAGTCTGCCTCCGTAATGGAAACCCAGTGGGCAGCTGATCCATGATACTCCTAGGCATGACCTGCCCTGTCACTTCTTGACACCTTTTCTCAGGTCATGTGTTCCAGCTGGCACCCCATCTCCTCTGCCCTGACCTCCAGGACACCCCAGTTGGAAACAAGCTGACTGTAATGCTCAGCATTCTGCAATATTCTCATGATATGGATGCCATTCTTCCTGTCTTCAACTGCTGCTAGAAGAATCTATATTTTCCAAGTCACTCAGCCAGTACTCAATGAACATTTTTGGATGAGCAGTCTGCTGGGAAGCATGATGTCTGACTAGACACTCCATTACAGTCCATAATTGGGACTGAGAGGAGTTAGATCTTAAATGCACGGTGACTTCACAAATGGGCTCTGGGCCTGAGACATGAGGCAACTCCCATTTTCCAATTAAACAAATATCTTCAATTTAAAATCTCCACAGAGATGCATAGTCAGCAGTTGTAACAAATGGATTAGAGTGTCACCTATACATAATCAAGAAATTTTAGAATCAAAAGAACCTTAGAATGCATTTCAAGTAAATAATGCATTTTACAGGTTAGGAAACCAAAGCACAAGAGGAGAAACAACTTACAATTTTAAAACATGATTGATTGGCAGGGCCAGGTCTGGAACCCAAGATTCCTGAATCTCATGCACCCAGCAACTCTTCTGTTCACTCATTTACCAGATCCATAAATCATCAGGTGGGAACTAACAAGGGAGGAAAGACTAGACAGACTTACTGCTTCTTCCAGGTGCTGTTGATCTGGGTTATCATTTGGTGTGTGCCTCAAGATTTCACGAAGAAGCAGAGGGTATTTCACCAGACGGCTTCTTGGAATATCAAGGAAATTCCAGAGGTCTAGTTTGCGGCTAAAGGGGGATTCTAAACATCGCTGTAGGAAATCCTGGACTCTGTGGTCTTGCTTTTTGTGGTCCAGTAGGGCTTTGGCAGCTACTTGATTACTGCAGTAGCTGTCGTAGGAGCTGAGACAAGGCAGCTAGGCAAAGAAAAAAAAAACCCACAAGTTAGCATCACTCCTGGGGACAGAACAAAACAGAACAAACATCTAACTGGCCTGGCCAACATTCATTTATTTGCATGACTGAAGGAGACCAGAGGAATTCTTCAAAATGGCAGGCAATGGAAGCTTTCTTAGGCTCTGGCTTGCTTGTGCTAACTGATTTTCTTAGCTGCGTATTTACCTTCTTGATTTTTTACAATATATGTCACAATTCATTAGTATTTCGTGCCAATTTAAGCTAAAACTGAAAGAACTTAAATTAATGCATACAGTGCAGAATTGTCATAACCTTTCAAAAGTATCTGGTGAGGGAAAAGCCTCTTCTGTTTATAGGATTTCTATTAAAATTAGTCACAAGAAACTCATTTAGAAGATTCAGTGGCACAAAAAGACATCAAGTGGTTAGACTCCATAGCCCAGCCCTCTCTGCATGGCTCCGTGCAAGCACCTCTACGTTAGTTTAAGATTATCTGATTTCAAGTGGCCCAATTAAAAAAGGCCCCAACACATTAAAGCAAACTTATAATTAGTAAAAATCATATTCAAGAAGCATTTAGAAAAATCTTTTAAATTAGCTCTGACGTGCCAGCAACAATTCTTGGCTATACTGTATTTAATGGTTAACATTGCAATATCAAGCAAAGAACAATTTAAGCTTAGACTGCAGAATGTTTCAACTCCATTGCCTTCCTTCCAGCAAAATGCTAATCCCCCCGACACATCCCATCAGTCACATCGTGCAAACACCGTGTCAGAGACTTAATGAAAGGGCTGTTCAGCCCCCATTTGCACTTTTCCCTACTAGATGGCATCCAAGACTCGGCACCCTAACACATGGGCCGACAACCTCCAGAAAGCTACAATTAAAAGGCAATTAAATGCAGCCAATGGTCTGGCTGCTTTTGTTCTCTCCCTTGGACTAGGAAGCTACATTCACTGTGACACCTGCTCTGTGGAGGGATTCTGTACAAGTAGGTGTCTTTCATTTCTTTATCCTTGATACTTTGCACTAGGCCTAATACACAGCAGACACTCGGAGTGTGTATTCTGAATGAACAAATAAATGAATATGCACTGGATTATCAATTTAAATTATATTTGATGGTTTAGCAACATTGTTTAAAAATAAAGTGTGGTGGCATTTGAAACATGGTCAGAGCTTAAATATTCTGCTAGGTCTTTTATACCTCTTACAGAAATTATTTTCCCAGTGATTAAAAGAAACAAACAAACAAAAACATGTCACAGAAGTAATGTTTAAGAGTTCACTGTTGAGCTTAACATTGCTTGGAAATGTCTACCTTCCTTACATGTTGTAGGATCCTCTATCTGTATTTTAAAAAACCCACAGAAATTCTTTTCTCAAACCTTGTATTTGAAAGTAATGATAATTGGTACTTATTAAACACACACACACACACACACACACACATGATGGGGTTACTGAGGCTTGTAATTTAGATTTTCAGAGTTAATTAAAAAGAGCCTCAGGCCCTCTTAACTTTGTTTCACTTTCTTGCCTTTTAAAAAGACCTGGAAATGTCCAATGTTTTCATTACGAAGAAACAAATCAGCAGTAGCCATCGGATGTAAACTAACCCCTGCCATACGGCTGCTCACTGCCCAATGACCCATTAATCTCTCTGATCCTGCCGCCTGGCTACCATGGCAACCACATCAGGCTCTGGTCCTGTGTTCACACCTGACAGAGTGGCTCGCTTCCTGGGCATGACCTGAAAGGTTCTCTTGTTTAGTCAACTGGAGTAAAAAACCCACAAGTGATCTCTAACTTGAAAGGAAATGAAGAATGCACACATCTTGGTTCCAAAATACATACTTACTTATTAAAATAAATGAGTAAATGAAAGGTGATAAAGCAGGAGCTAAGAGTACAGATCCTGGAGTTAAAGAGAATCAGGTTCAAAGCTAATCCACACACTAGATGAGTAACCCTTTGAGCCTCAGTTTCTCTACATGTAAATACTATGTCCTCCTCTCCCTTTATTAGATATAAAATGTGTAGCACAGAGCTTAGTTCATGTTGTTTTTTTTTTTAATCAGTAACTACTATTATTATTATTTGCCTCAAGAATTTTTTTTTTTTCTTTTTAAACTTTGGTTTATAGAAGCAAAGCACTTCCTCAGTAGGGATAAAACTAGAGCCTGAAGTCAGCTCTCCTTGGTTGAAGCTCTGAACTGCTCACATCTCTTTAAACAGGCTATCAAGAATTCATATGGAAAACTCTCTAACTTTAAAAAAAAAAAATCCTATCTCCCAAACATTGTGAAAACAGACAACAAATCTTTATTTATTTGGGCATCCACCTACCCTGCATCTCTCTTTGAAATTAAAATTTAATTAGAACCCAAATTAACTTGATAATATACCCTGGAGAGCTTATAAATTGTTTTATTACTTAAAAAATGTCAGCACGAGACACTGTCACTTGGGAAGTTGTTTCTTTCTGATAGGGAAGGCTTACCCCAGCAGTTGACCGGCTGGGAGGGGAGTGTGTGCCTGATCCTTAGTAACCAGGGTGGCTCCCTAAAAAAAAACCCACCCTTCTGTTTAAGGTCTTCAAAGTAAAAGTAATTGATTCATCCTTAGGTCAAAAGGACTGGCCAGGGTTGTCCTACTTGGGAGGCTCACTTGTTTAAAAGGATTTTTCCCCCAAACTTTTTTTTCCTTTAGGGAGGATATAAATCAATTTTTCATGGGTCGAATGGGCTCTGACTTTTCTCATTCAAAGTCTACTAAGATGTTTATTTTGTTCTGTTAAAAAGACCAGAACTCAAACAGATGTACCCCTTGGTTACGGTTCCCACTGGCATGGACACATCTGCAGTTAAAAGAGGGAAAACATTTAACAGCTCATCGGCCCCTGATAAATAAGGGCCGTTTCTCATGAGGTCTGATAACAAGGGGCCAGTTGTTTAATTTTAGGCTGTTCTTCATGCTGCAAGTCCCCATTTGATGTCTCAAGGGTCCAGATAGCAATGAACCATTATGGTCATACTTGCTCTGGGTATGTATAGAAAAGGACTGAAAAAGATGCTCCCAGAGCAAATTAAATTCCTAATAAAAGTGACAAGTATTAACTTTGGAAAAAAAATTAATAGAAAGTCATATTCTTATGATTTTGCTTCTGGCACAAATTGACAATCTGTACATAATGTTCAAGGAAATCACAGAGTTCCAAATTGCTATCTTGTCAAAAACAGCATTCACCATGCTAATTCTGGAGTGCAGCCTTACTGTCCGCTATTACTTCATCCCACTAAAGCAGCTCACAAACTCAGAAAGTTTAAGAAATATCGAGGCAGACCCTCTTCTCATTACAACTTCAGTCTCCAACTGCCTGGCTCTCTCTGGAAAAATTTCTTTGTGGGCTGAAGAAGTTAAGACATCTACCATGGCTCATAATAAAATGTACAAAAATATAAGATGAATAATATCTCCTGAAATATTAAGGGAATTTCCTAAATTATTCATCTTAGGACATTACTTGCCTTTCAGATATGCTTGGGATATTTCAGCCTCAGTGCTAAAATTGACTCCTGGACTAAAGTGATCCAAGTCATGAAACTCTCGGTTTCTTGACCGAAGCAATGATCAAGAAGCACAATTAAACTGAGACAAAGGCAAAGCTTTCTGTATGTCTGTATGGCATCAGGGAAAAGTAACAAGGTTTTAATTAGTTAAACCAGTTTCTGATAAGTTGATTCTGACTCATGGTGACCCCACGTGTGTCAGAGTAAAACTGTGTTCCACAGGCTTTCGAGTGGTTGGTTTTTTGGAAGGAGATCATCAGATCTTTCTTTGGAAATACCACTGGGTGGACTGGAACCTCCAGCCTTTCTGCTAGCAGCTGAGCAAATGGTGTTAACCATTTGTATCAACTAGGTTTTAGGAAGGTTAAAATACAAATAATTGGATAAAGAGAACTCACATGATGATACTAAGATTTATAAGCTTCACAATACTCTCCAAACAGAGAAATAACCTCTAATAATTGCCATCATGGTACTTCCTGCCTACTTTTCTGGAGCACTGTGTGGATTACAGAGATGAGAGACCCAACTTTGCCAGAAGAAGTCATCAAAGTAATCTGCTTTCATTACCTGCTTCATAACAAATGACAAACACCTGGAGCTGGGGTGGAACACTCAAGAGCTCAGAGGGATAGTGGGGTCTGTGGTAAAATAGAGTGCATACATGTGCTTGCTGTCTACATTAAACACACAGTAACATTATGCCATGCAATAGAAAACAAATTCAGCACCAGGACCATAAATTTATGACCCCTAATCTAATGTCAGAGCATTTCTTTAGTTAGAAAATGCAAATGGGTTCAACTGAGATGAAGGTCAACATATACTCAGCTCTCCTGTGAAGATACTGAGGATCAGATATATTCTAAACATTAGCAATATTTAGTTATTGAACTACATTTTGACCATGAGTTTTTTTTTTTTTTTTTTTTAAAGATAAAGCAAAAATTTTTTTGGTGATAGACAAGAGTATGTCCATCGGTTTTTACTAGAATAGAAATGATAATAATTATATTAGTAATTGGCCTGAATTGAACATTAACTAGCTTTATTTTGTTTCATGTGAAAATAATAGCTCCATGTATTCCTTTACTTATTTTGTGCAAAAAGGCCAGATTGTCTATACATGCAGTAAATTTATAATAAATAAATAACTGTTTTCACGGTCTGAAGACCTAAAGCCTAAATATAATATTTATTAGGAATCTGATTATTATTTTTGGCTGATGTGAAACCCATATTTTTCAATGTGAAACTCCATCTAAACTACTGACACTGATCTTCAAGCAAGACCAGAGAACTTTTCTTACCCAGCCCACCAGGATGGGACCGACGTGCTCAGTCGAGCCATCAGGCTTCCGAATACCTCGAAGCTGACTAAGGAGATCTGGTAAAAAAACAAACAAGCAGAACTCTTATTTTGTTAGCTGTAGAAATATGAACAGGGCTGGAAGTAGGCTCTGGGTTACTCATATGATTACATAATCAGTAACTCATTAAAAGACAACTCAATGAAGGCTACCAGTCATATGTTATTACATTACATATACATAATATATTACTATATTATATTATATTTTATTACATAATACCTTCATGTAGAGGGATTAAAGAGTCCAGGGTTCCAAAAATCTGATTCAATTCTTGTTCTGTCATGATGGAGAGTTTCAGCATGGGGTCGTGATAGGCCTGCACAAGAAGCAAGAGATAGAAGCAAACCTTTAAAGTCTGAGGAGGAAGTTGGTAAGGAGCATAGCTCTGGAGAGGGACTATACATACAACATTCAGCTCTCCTCAGCTTTTCCCACAAAGCTGTAGAAACTGCACATGGGTGTGGCTAAATAAGATGAGCATCTAATAGCACCTCAGCCCTCCGTGGTTGTTGAAAACCAAACCAGATTTTTTAAAAAAAATTAATTTTACTATATCATACATCTAAGGAAGGGTATAAATCCTAAGTGTAGAGCAGATTTGATGGGTATAATGTTTTAAATATCAATTTTATTGAAGATCCTGAAGATTGCAAAGTTCCTACTTTATACAAAACAAGTTATCAGTAGGGTCTTTTTCAACCGGCTCCTATTTTTAAATAAATAAATAAAAGAAAAACTTACTAGTGTCTTTTACTATATATATTTCTTAAATTTTTATTGTGATTTGGGTGAAAGTTTACAGAGCAAATTCATTTTCCATACAGCAGTTCATATATACTTTGCCTCACGACATTGACTGCAATCTCCTGCAATGCAACAGCTCTCCTCCCACTTCCTCCCCAGAGTTACCTCTTCCATGTGTCCTTTCCTCCCATGCACTCCTGCCCCTTGAGCTGTCTCCCTGGGTATACATTCTCCCATGATTGATCTCTCCAAGGAGTGTATCTACCTCAGGTAAATGTTCAGCTCATATGCTTGTCTTTTGTATGGCTGAAAGCCACAGGAGTGGGTTCAGTTCCAGACCTGAAGGGGCAGCTAGGGGCTATAGGCTCAGGGATTCCACCAGGCTCTATCAGACCAGCAAACCTGGTCCCCCCCCCCCTTTTTTTTAAATGACTTTTAATTTTTTTCCCACATTTTTCTCCCTTTCTATCCAGTATCTCCTACAGAGATCCCCCATCCAGTGGTTGACAGTGGTAGCAAGGCACCATCTAGTTCTTCTGGTCTCAGTCATATAGGCTGAGGATCACATGGTGTATTAGTCCCCTGGACTAACTGTTGCCATGGGTCTTTGGTTTTCTTCATTCTTCTGAATGAAAGATTTTTGATGAAAGTTTATTGTCAAGAGTCATGGGTGCCCCCAACCCATGTGCTTAAAAATGAATTTTCATATGAAAGACCCCTATTTACAATACAGGATACAACTGCCTCACTTAACTGCTCCATGTACTTTTGAGACTCAAATAACTTTATCTCTAAGGTACAGTTCCAGGCTGAGAAACCCACATGTCCTCTCCCACAGATAAGGAGGCCCTGCATCTGAGGCTTCTAGGACAACATACTACATAGGCAGACCTCCATGAACACTTTTCTGATTTAAGATGAAGCATTCTTTGAGGTATCTTAAAAGACACTCAGAGAAGAGCTCCTAAGGGTGCCTATTCCAGGGAGCTATTCTATCTTCTTGCTGTGCACTGTTTCCCTCACTTCTTGGTTTGGGGCAGCAGGTCTTCTCCAAGTTTAATGATTCCTCTTAGTCATAAAGAGAGTGCTCATAAAGCACAATCTTGAGAGATTACTCAGAGGAAAGAATGTGAGGTGAATGAGATAACCACTACATTTAAATTTACCTTTTTTGCTAATTTCAAGTCCTCTATCAAGTCTTCTTCTCCTTGGGAAAGCTCAAAGATGGCCTGCAAAGAAAAATAAAAAGCAATCACTAAGCTTGTCCTTTATTTAGGACACCAACTCCAAACAGTGATGGTTCCAATCCTCAAAGCACCATTTTTGTCTTTTAAAAAGTTAAGTTGCTCTAAAGATTATTATTGGTTACCAGGGGTAGGAGGGAAAGGGGAAAAAGCTTTTGTTTGCAGGGCATTGAGTTTATGCTAGTGGTGGTAAACTATTTTGGAAAAGGATAATGATAACGGTGGCACAACATGAAAAATGTCATCAATGTTTCTAAGCTGTAAAAGTGGAAGTTGTTATGTTGGTGAATGTCTTGGTGTGTATGTTTTCACCACAATAAAAATAAATAAATACATAAGTTGCTGTTGTTAGATGCCATCACATCAATTCCAACTCACAGCGACCCCATGTAACAGAGTAGAATTGCCCCCACAGAGTTTCCTTGGCTGTATTCTTCACAGGATGGCTAGGTTCTTTTCCCTACAGAGCTGCTGGTTGGGTTTGAACCACCAATCTTTTGGTTCACAGCTGAGTGCTTAATCGTTTGTGCCATCAGGGCTCCTCAACAAGTTAGCCTGCAGCAAATGCATCTACAGGTTAAAACCTGCAAAGAAAAGATTTTGCAAAACTTCTATATAATATGCTTCTCTGTTTGTTTCTAATCCAATAAGTCATTTTTCATGCTGCCAAGCGAGTGAACTATTTTAGGTAAAATAATTACAGTTTGGGCCTTGAGTCCACATCTTTGTTGTGAGTGGCAACCATAAAAAATGATTTGGGGTCTGCTCTAAGAGGAATCCTGGTTGTGTAGTGGTTAAAGTGCTTAGCTGCTAACCAAAAGGTGGTGGTTCAAACCCACCAGTTCCTCCATGGGAGAAAGATGTGGCAGTCTGCTTCCATAAAGATTTACAGCCTTGGAAACCTTATGGGGCAGCAGTTTTACTCTGTCCTATGGGGTCACTATGAGTTGGAATCAACTCGATGGCAGTGGGTTTGGCTTTTAAAAGAGTCGCTAAGGAGCCCTGGTGGCATAGTGGTTAAAACATTTGACTGCTAACCAAAAAGTTGATCTTTCAAACCCACCAGGTGCTCCACAGAGATAAAGATGAGTCAGCCTGCTTCTGTAAAGATCTGCAGCCTTGGAAACACTATGGGGCAGTTCTACTCTGTTCTATAGGGTCACTCTGAGTTGGAATTGACTTGATGGCAATAGGTATGGGGTCACTATGAGTTGGAATCAACCTGATGGCAACGGGTTTGGGATTTTTGGTCTTAGAGATGTACATGGCAGGATTATTAATCAGGCATCACAGTTTGTCTTCCTTTGACAGAAGGTGAATCTCAGCAGAAAGTTTTATTCCCATCAGCTACTTGTCTTGAGGCTGGGATTGTATGAAGAATCCAGTATTTTATCACCCTAAATGTCTGGCAGAGTTAATTCTTTCTAAGTTACTTCTTAATGCCACCAGGTACAATAAATAAAATTATAGGAGCTGGCTGTGTGCAAGAGTATGTAAAGGGACCGTTTTTAATATGGCTCTATTAAGCAATCATGATTGAAACAACTATGATGTGCAGAACATTCTTTCATTCTCATCTGGGAGAAAACATTACATTAGTAAAGGATTGCAAGTCTGTAAAGACAGTTCAGGGACCAGAGCATTTCTTTCAGGCTGGAGGGAAGAAGCCAGCAGGCTCTGAGCATATCCTCTGTCTCTGGGATAGGTGGAAAAGAGGGCAAAGTGTTATCTCAGGCAAAGCAGGTGGAGGCAAAACCCTTGGCTACAGAGGAATGCAAAGGAGCCTCCAAGTCATACCTTCCTAGTACTCTATTTAAAAAAGAAAACTTTTTATTTTGAAATAATTATAAACCTATAAGAAGTTACAAAAAATAGCACAGAGAGGTCCTGTGTACCTCTCACCTAGCTTCCCTCAATAGTGGCATCTTGACTAACTATAATGCATTATTAAAACTGGGGAACACTGGCACAATACCACGAACTGGACTCCACTTGGAATTTCTTCTGATTTCCTTGTACATCTGTTTACTAATGAGTACTTGCCCAGTATGGTCTCAGGAGAGGAAAACTACAGAACAGTGGGAAATATAAAATATGCAGTAAGGTGTTTGTGGTGGAGTTGTACAATGTCACCATGAAGACCATGAGCTTTGGATGAGGACAAGAGATGAGTTCAAATTCTGACTCTCTAACTTACTGGCAGATAGCCTTGTATTCATGGTTCTTTAATAACTTCCTCATCTATGGAATTAATTAACTCATATAATTTACTTATTTTTATTTGTTCATTCTCATTTTCTCTGCCCCTTCTCTTTTTTCCTCTGTCAGATTATACAAATACTTTGTTAACACTTGGGAAGATAGAGAAAAGCATAAAGAATAGTACCCATAATACCATCTTGTTAACTATTGTTAAGATTGTACCATATTTCTCTCCAGGAACTTTTTAATGCATATATTAATTTTAAATGCTTTATTCATTTTTGGATAGATACAATTACATGGTTCAAAATTTAAAGTGCAAATATAGGCACACGGTGAAAACTTTTCACTTCCTTCCTCCAGGCACCCAGTTCCCTTCCCAGAAGGCAACAATATTAACCAGTTCCTTGTTGTGACAGTTGGGGTTGTGTGTCAATTTGCCTGGACCATGATTCTGAGTGGTTTAAGCAGTTGTGATGTGGTTATTCCCATGATGAGATGGGATGTATATGCTTTTAGCAGTCAATCTGTCAAAAGGGAATTACCCTAGGGGTGTGGCCTGCTTCTAATATATATATATGTGTGTATATATATATATATATATATATATATATGGACATTCTGGGAAAACGAGAGACTCTTCTGTGGATCTAGATCCTGTTGTGCTGCCTACAACTGTTCATGAGCAAACAATCCACCATTCTTCCCTGTGATCTCGGATCCATCATCTGCCAAAGTCAACAGCCGGTATACTGCCTATCAACCTTGAGTTCATCAGCCCCTATAGCTGTGTGAGTTGGGAAAAGCCTCCAGTTGGTGTTTGATCCAGGAACTTGGGACTTGTCAGCTTCTATAATTGTGTGAGCCATTTTCCTAATTTTTTTTTTCTCTCTATCTATAGATATAAGTTTTACTGGTTTTACTTCTCTAGAGAATGCAGCCTACCACACTTGCATATCCTACTAGAAATATTTTATGGTTCTACAAGCTAATACATACTGACAAAGAGCATTCCAAAACTAAGGCTGCAATTTCTGGCTGAGGTGCAGGCCAAATCCCTAGGTTTTGTGACTCCATTTTGTACTATTCTGTCATACAACACAGACCGTCACCTCTGTAAAAATTTTCCATTGTAACTTTCACCTAGATACAAAAAATTTCTACAGAAAAATGGAGTTTTGCCCACCCTATTCTATTTATAGATGAGCCTGTGGTTAGAAATGACTGATTTAAGTTATGCAGCTTGTACATTTGCAAGACATGCTATTCAACCTGTGACTTGATGGCTTAAGCTACATACCCTTAGATTCCCCTAAAGAGATGTCTTTCTGACTCCCTTTTTCTCAATAGCCAGTACTTAGGAATAACTGTATTTTAATATGCTCCAAGAAGTTTATTGTCAGCCATGCTCTTTCACCTACCTGAGCCCCCTCTGTGCAACAAAGTCAACTCCTGCAAAAGTGGTCAACCAAGATCCTGCCACCTGCAAATTTCTAATCAGAAATATCCCAGCTGCCCCCCCCCCTTTACTTGTGGTTTTTGCCTTTATCAGTCTCTGTAATTCTGTAGCTCTTTGGAGTACTTTGTCAGAGCATCCTGACTCTGTGTTTCTCCATTTTGCAAAATGCTCTTTCACCATAATAAAGTCTTTGTTTTTAACTTTAAACAGACTTGCAGATTTTTCACAATGACAATTTTGGTACCAGAGGTGGAGTCTGTAGCTGACTTCCTCTGGCAGCACTCAGAGAGCCGAGAAATCAGGCTCTGGATCCACCTGAGTTGACGAGACTCTCCTTTCTCTATGGACCTTTGGGAGCTGCCTTAGGTAAGTATTTCTCAGTTCTTCAAAATTCTGCTTTGCTGTGTCTGAGGTGCAACCAACTTTTATTATTTGCTTATTTTCATTATTATTAATTTACTTTTTTTTAATCTGTCTTGGATTTGTTTTCCCTTTTCTCACTGTTTTGAATTCTGTAGAATGTAATTCTACTTTTTAAGTCTCAGGGTAATCACAGAAGGTAAGTCTACTTTCAAATAGCTCAGGGTATTTGGATTTACTGTAACCCATACAAAACTGAAAGTAGTACTCCATCTGGCTATTTATGAGCTTGAGTTCCCTCTACTGGGACATCATAGAGGAAACTGTTCTTAAAGTTTTCTGCTTGTGAGTTCAGGCTAAAGTTTCCCACTTGCAAAACTCTGGTTAAAACTTGAGATTTTGGTAATTGCACAATCTCATGTCCTTTTGGATTTTGGTCCTGAGATAATAACCAAGAGTAGTTCTCTGATCTGGTTCATGCACATGTTTGGTATAACAGGGAAATGACAAACAACACACCCAAAACTTGAGAGTATTCCTTATGGAATCCAGCACAATTTATAAGCAGACATTATAGTTTTGCTACTTGTTTTTTTATGAACCAATGGCATAATTCAACTAAAGAGATTCTGTAAAATCAGTAGCTACTTCAAAGTAATTCCAAATAGAAAAAATTAGTATGTTTAAGATCTAAAATAATAGACTAGGCCTCTAGCCAGCAAAACAAATTAATTTCAAAAGAATGAACTCAGGTATCATAAGTCTGTTATGAAGGAATCTCAGCAACTTTAAGCCACAAACCAACACCCCATGGCAGATCCTGCTAAGGATTTTATTTGACTCTGGGAAACCAAAATTTCAACTTATTCTTAACATCCTTGATAAATAAGCCTAGACTTTCCCTCCTTCCAAGATGCTGGTTTTGGGGTTCCTACTCAAACACTATAAGCTGAATATATTTGAA